TGTGGTGGGTGTCTCTTATCTTCTCTTCTTCCCTCACAAACAACATGATCTCCTCTACCTTCTGCCTTATTCAGTACGTATGATGATGTATAACATACCCTTGGATAAAAACGGTGGGAATCCTCACAAACAGATTACAACCGTTGATGTAAACATGAAACGGAAAGAAACTGTTTTTGTGCCAGTCTTATTCAGTATCTGTCAGTCAGTCTTTCTGGTTTTAACTACCTGACGATTGACATGGAACAACAAAGAGGTAGCAAAGTCAGAAGAAAAAAATACATGGAGGTGACTGCACATCACACCACACGTTGTTGTCGTCATGTGACACTACCTGAACTGATGCATGTCGACCGGTCTGATTTCCTCCCTTCTCAACTTCTTCTTGCACACCAACTTTCCGTGCATGCGCATCCCTGATGCACCAAATCTTCACAGATGCCTTCGCACCATCCTACTACTTCATGGGGCTGCTTGTCGATCAGTTACGGCGTCCGCATTGCAACAAACAGATGGGCCAAGTGTTGAAAGATTTCCTAACACGACTCCGGGAACAGGCACGAAAATTCTACTCCCGGCGTGTTCCGCAGTCAAGTCCAGAGAGTTGAACGTGCTTGTTCAAGTGGAGTAGTATATACTAATGTTTTAAATAGCGGGCTATGAAAAATAGCGGCGGACCTCCAAATCAGCTACAGCGGGCTATTTGTGAAGGCGACCATTTAGCGGCACCCTACTGAAAAGGCTATAGCTAGCGGAGCTATAGCCGGCTATTTAAAACTACGGTATATACTCCCTCAGTGTCAAAAAATGTCTTATACTGTATTTTGTTTTGCGGGAATTGAGAGACTAACCACTAAACTTTGTTAAACAAAGAAAATACTTAATTAATGGAGTATAAGGGAGTTGCCCACTTAATTACCAAAAAACTGGCGAAAACCATGGGAACCGAACCCACTAATCAGACGCGCAGCACATACATGTGAAATAAAACATTGTCCTTCGAACTAAAAAAACATGGTCGAGGTTGCACATTGACGTCATCATCATCACTTTCATCGAGCAAGCGACTCCAAATCCTACCAAAAACCGCCGACAAAGTCCAGACAACAAAGGTCACGGTCAACTGCACAAAATGCCATGCCAATAAACCAACCACACGCGTCGACGACAGTGCAACTCATATTCTGATGGCAAGCTATGAAGGTGGGATGCGCAAGGCTGGCGCCACGAAAGATCACAGAATGGATCACCCGTTTCCTCGTTTGTCAACACCCGGACCCGCCGCCACAATTCTTACTTCACAACTAGAGACAACCAACACAATCTTAGCCCATGCTTATGTGCTACTCTGTTATAATGTCTTGTCGTGCGGCTTTGCTACTCGTTGTTGGATCCCAGATCATGATGCATGAGATCCATTTGGAGGATGTCACCCTTCATCAAATTGTGGTCAACGCCAATGGCCGAGTCCTCGACCAAGTGAACGTAACCAAGGAAGAAGAGTCATACGCCATCTCCTCAAGGCCATCAACGCCACAGTGTCCGAAGAAGGCAATGAGGCCGACGAGCTTTGCCGCAAGAGTGCGGCGAAGATAAGGTCGTACAAAAAAAAAGACTGAGGTGAGTTTTATTGAAAATGGTCTGTTTGGCCTCCTTTTCGCTGCGGGCATGGTATGACGTTTTGTCAGGGTGGTCCAATTGATATATAAAGTATTACATAAAAAATATAATGTACCAAGATACTAGCAAA